TCTGCTCTTTAAGCTGCCTCTATAATTTAAGTGACTTGCTTATGGTCATGCGGCTAGAATGTGGCAGAGACAAACCTTGAACTCAGATCTTTCCAAGATTAGCCCTCAATCTACTCCACTATGTTGTCAGTCGCTGTTATTACTGGCTATTTAACAAGATGATTTTAAAAGATTTGACTACAAAGATTTTTCTGAAGGTTTGTCTTAAAGGAAAGAATTCCATTGTATATATTGTCAGGCTCAGCTGACATATTGGTTAGTTTTGTTGAACTGCTCTTCCCTCCCCATCTTGCTTTTTTATTCTTTGTTACACAAAACAGCTCTCTTGGTAGGGAAGAAGGGAGGGATATATTTAGAAATGAAAATGATATAAAAATGAAACATCAATAAAAATTTTGAAAACGAGGCAAAAGTTTCCACAGCTACAGAAAGTCTGAGGACACACTAGACTATAATGACAAGATACTTTCAATTGACCATATTAATAGCAGAAGTAGCACCCATAATCTATGAAAATTCATTTTCTCTATGAAAATTTCTACTTTGGGTTAATTTCTTTTTACAAGGAAAAGGGGGTGGGGTCAATTTCAGAGGGCTTTATCTTAGCCTAGTTTTTTATGTCAAACAGTGGTGTCAAACTCAAAGAGAAATGGATCCCTGAGGGCTGCATATTGACTTAGAAAACCACAAATTAACATTATCTCTTGTGTATTGTAATTTTGTTGATTTTGCTAAATATTTCTCAATTACATTTTAATCTAGTTCATGCCTTATTTCTAAGTGTGGTAGGCCACATGCCCTCAGAGGCATGTTTGACACCTCTGGTGTAAAATTCTGGTTTGGGTAAGTGACATGCCTCTGCTTTCCCTAATAGGTTGCAGAATTGTCATAGCACCATAGAGTTGGAAGGGATTTTAGAACATAGAATAAAAGCACTGGAAAAATACTTTAAACCACAGAGATAGAACATCCCAACTAGAAAGAACCTTAGAGAGCCAATCTAACTGTCACTCTTCAAATTAAGAAAATAAGACTCAGATAGGTTGTACAGCTAGTTAATGAAAGAATCAGGATTAGAGACTCGGTTTCCTCCCTCAGTCCACACTGTTCTTCACATTATACTCTTCTGCTGCGTCTCTGAACTCTGCTCTGAATATTGAAATTCCATGTACATGAAAACAGCTGCTGTTTGAAAATGGTGATTAGGATGGTATCATTTTTCAGGGTCTGTTGGCTCAGTACAGTTTCAGATCTACTTCATTCCCATATTAAAGTATATTTCCTAACATACCACAATATATTATTATTGCCCTTCATAATAAATAATGTTATCACACCTTGATATGTTGTGATGCACAGCAGAGCTAAAATATCATTACGGTATATGGTGTATTGTTGATAATGTTATCAAGATGAGCCATAATATAGTAAAGAAGTAGTGTAGGTGATGCTTTGGATAAAGTGCTAAGCCTGGAGTCAGGAAGACCAGAGTTCAAATGTAGCCTCAGACACTTGCTAGTTGTGTGATCCTGAGCAAGTCACTTAATCCTGTTTGTCTCAGTTTCCTCATCTGTAAAATAAGCTGAAGAAGGAAATGACAAACCACTCCAGTATTTTTGCCAAGAAAACCCCAAATGGGGTCACAACAACAACAACTAACAACAACAACAACAAAGTGTGGTGTAGTGGAGAGAGTGAAGGTAGGAATTAGGAAAGCAAACCCTTGGGAGTTCTTACAGAATAAGGAATGTATCACCAGGAACTGAGATGCCTTTGCTTTACTTCAGAAATTTTCATCTCAGAATTGCTTATTTCTGAAGTACAAGCTGTTATAACAGAACCATAAATCTGGATGGTAAGAGTTTAAAAAAAGAAAGCAGAATTGAGGGAGATAGAGGAGAAAGTGAGCCCTTCTAGCCTGACACCTGGATTTTTAAGGGAAAATGTCATTCATTATGGACAATTCCTAGAGTCTCCAATTCATAATGAATAGAAGGTTTTTTTCACAGTCACCACAGGTTTTACCTTAGCTATCCTTTGTCCTTTTCCCAGACCACTTGGAAAATACACCTCATATTTTGTAATTCATGTTTTACATGTTCCACAAGTCACATACACGGTCACACTACTGAGATACACTCCGAGAACAAGATCCAATTTCACATGATTTGATTTAATTACTCCCCCAAGTCCCCGTATCATTACATTTTACTCTAAAAATGAAAATGACTCCCCAAGGGGGGAAAAAGCAAACAGAATGTCTGAGAATATGTACAACAATTTTTATAAAATGTATGTGGAAAAATACAGTCTATCCACTCTCATTCCTGGTCACAAGACCATCTATCCTTTAGCTGTATATACACAGCAAACTTAAGCTATCCAGTATTTTAAAAGCATTAACAGATGTAGGGCCACTCCCACCTATTTAGCATCGCAGAATCACAAGGAATCTAGTTCTGTGGCTTCTACTGAAATGCCATAAGTAGTGGTGGAGCTATTTAGCGCCTGCTATAACAGCCTGGCGCGGCAACCTCCTCCTACACCCCCCCCCCATCCCAACCCTCCCACTTAAATCAGGCTGCAGAGTTGGGAGTCTAGAGAATCTGCTGCCTTCTGGTCTTTCATCTGACTCAGAACCATGTTAAGCATTTAAACCAAGGAACCAAATACCTGAATATTTGCAAGAAGATGGGGGTGATGGTGAGAGGCAAAGGAACAAAGGAGAAGGAAATAGAGGCAAAGGAGTATGCTGTTGGGAAAACTGCCTTTTTTTTCCTGTCCACTAACCAGGCCAAAACCTGCTCTCTATGCAAACCTTGGCAGCCAGGATGAGAAGTCCTGACACTTAATACCCCTTGACTTTAAAGCTTCCAGCTGCGGGTGCGCTTGGGATCCGGTGCAAAGAAATGTTAAGTGGAGACTGAAAGTTTTGCATGAGATAGAAAAATGATTGAAATTCTGCTTCTAGTAAGCAAATATTAAACCTGAACAACTCGAGGCCCCGTTTCTTTAGCTGGGGTGATTTCGCTGGTATGTGGGTGGTTCTCCCTGTACCCTCAGCTCCTAGCCCAAATCAGTCTGGGGTTCCATGGGTGCAGGAAAGGACACACTCTGTAGGTTTTCCACCACCACTCGATGTCAAACAGGCGGCAGGTTTTCATTCACATGTGCTACCCCAAACCTCCACCCTCCCAACGCCGCTCCTCAGAGGCCAACACAGCAGCTGCCCCTAACATCCCCCCTCCCAGCCCCCAAACATCCACACGTCCTTCTCCAAACCTTCCCCCCACCCTCCTCCTTCCGGGCTCAGCCCATCTCGACCGGCTATTTCCAACACTGAGGCTCATTGTAGCGCTCAGTCCCAGCTGGGGCCGAAAGATCTCCGCCCTATCCCCCGCCCCCACCCATCTCTTTCCACCACTGTAGCTAACACCACTACCACCACCACCACTACTACCACCACTACCACGACCACCACAAGCAACCATCCCCCGCCACATCCCCTGCCCCACCCCCTCCTTGGACACAGCTCGGAGCGCGGGCTGCCTCTACCCAGCCTCCGTCAGGACCCCGCCCCACGACAGCACTTGGGGTGGGGGTTCCCTCTCACTCTTACCCCAGTCACAAGACAAGCTAGTCTCCCACCTTCCTCCGCCACCTCACCCCACACCCCACAGTATCCCTCCTCCTCACTCTTCTTGAGGCTCGGCTTGGGGACCCAGAAACACATCGTCTCAGGGCTGTCAGGGGCCTGGATTGGCACTTGCGGCCCCCAGCACTGGGCATGCTCTCCCCTCCACCCCCATCCCCGGCTTGACCAGTGAGCGCTGAGCAGTCCAGACTGCTCCCCCTTATCCAAGCGCCCCTGACAACCCCCCGTGCCCCCGACCCCCGGGACAAAGCCAGTCGCCTCACCCAGCAGCAGCAGCCGGTGGGTCTGCCTGTATTCGCGCTTCTCCGCCTTCAGGCTCTTGTCGATGCCTTTGCTTCGCTTTCTCTCTGCCTTCAGCCGGGCCAGCTCCAGCTCCCGCAGCCGGCTCCGCGACTGAGGGTCGCCCGAGTCCGGCTGCTGTCCCCCGGGAAGGTCGCCAGTTTCCAGCGCGACTGCGGGGCCCCGGCCGCTGTAGGAGATGGAGGGGTGATGGGCGCCCAGGATCCGGGCTCGGAGGCTGTAGCACATCCCCATGGCTCTGGGAGAGGGACGCGCGGCTCTCCCGCGAGTGAGCGAGTGAGCGCACACTCCCCGGGAGGACACACACACCGCGCGCGCACACACACACCACACACACACTCTCTCCCTGGCCCTTTCGTTCCCTTGCTCACTAGCACACGCCCGGGCAAGGAGAGCAGGCTGCGGGCTTAGCTCCCCGCCCCTCCCCTTCCCCTCTCGCCCGGCCCCCCGGCCCCCCTCCCGCCCCCTCCGGTCACTCTGGCCAGACGAGTCCATGCGCTCAGCTCCGGGTGCTGCCTGCTCTGCCTGGGTTACCCTGTCTGCCCCGGCTTCGTAATCGGCGGGGAGCCGGCGGGACCTGAGGATGTTCCGCCCCTTCCCTGGCGGAGTGCAGACTGCAGAGGAGAGAGGGGGGACTAGGGCGGGGGTGGCCGTCGTAGGGGGTTCTGACGCCTCTCTTTCCGGATTGATCGCCTCTCTCTCCACCAGCCCAAGAGCCAGAAAGCGACAGCCACTTCACACCCCACGTGATCAGGACATGTTTACCGTATTTCTTCCGAACGGGTGGGGAAGTGGCGGCGTCTGCAGCTCTGGCCAGGCCTGCAGCCTCCCAAACCTCCTCCTCTTGGTCCGGCCCAGCCCTGCCCCCGGGAGGCTTCGGCTCGGCGGCTCCAAATCACTGCCTGGGGCAGCCGCAAGAGGAGCAGGCTGTATCCTTAAACCAGAGACCCACAGGTGGCCTTGCCCTCCCCTCAGGACCATTAGCTACCCAGAGAAAATGACATTTGGCTTTTGAATTTTTAAGCATCTCATATTATACACGCGCATGGCTGGTGGCCGTCCCTTCCCCTCCGTCCCTTCCCCTCCGCTTGGACGAGAGAAAAGACAAAGGAATCGGTGCCCTCAGACTAGGCCACTGCCTGGCCATACTGAAATCCGTGCATTTAACTGGGGAGCAAAGGACGCCCTATGCCTGTCAGGTTTTGTTTTGTTTTTTTGTAACTATTATTTATAGGGCCACATTCAAAGCAGTCCAGCCAGGCCAGTGATCGGTTTCTCCTTGGGGGAGAACACTGAGGCTTGGAGAGCCCCTTTCTTGTGCCCCTCTCCTCCCGTAGTGCTGATTTTTAACCAATCATTGCTGTCCTTTTCTCCACTACCCCCATCCCCAGGAGAGGGAAGGTCAGGTGCTTTCCTCTTGATTTCTCTCTTAAGGAAACTGAGTCATTGAAAAGTTGAGTAGATGAAGTCTACACAGCAATTGTAATGGAGATGGTACCTAGATCTAGGTCTCCATTCCCTTGACCAGCTGGAGTTTGCTAAGGCCCTTGTCTGGTTTAGTTTTGTTTTTTTGTTTTTTTGAGAAACCTTTTGCACACTCTCCTAAATGGGTTGGACAGACAGTCGAGGTTCTTGAACTTTAGGATTGTATTATAGTCCAATAAGCATTTTTATAATGCTGTGAGAAAGTCTATCCAGTCTCTGAGCTCAAAAAGCTTATAATCTTATATTATGACATGGAGAAGACAAAAAAAAAAGAGAGAGACATGGAGAAGACAAAAAAAAACCCAACAAAAAAAAAACAGAAGAAAGATTCTTTCCCCAATTCATCCCAAGACAACACCTGATAATTATTACTTCTTTACATTCAAGGTGTCCCCATTCTACCTTGGTCCTGCCTATTTTTCCATGAACATCAATATTATCCCTTTGAAGAATGCCTCAGGTCTCTTATCAACCTCTTTCAATTCTCTTATGTCTTAGACTAACTCAATTCTTGAACATTTCATAACTGCCATTGTTTATAGAAATTCATGTCAAAAATCACAGTGGAAAAGCTATGATTATGGGGCAGCTAGGTGGCTCATATAAAGTTTCTGCCTTGAAGTCAGGAGGACCTGAGTTCAAATGTGACCTCAGACACATGACACTTACTAGCTGTGAGATCCTGAGCAAGTCACTTAACCCCGATTGCCTCACAAAAAAAAAAAAGCTATGGTTTGAATTGGGGGTGGTGGGGAGGGAGGAGAATCTTTTTATTGCCTGCCTCCATAGACAATCATGGAAGCCTGACTCTTCTTCAAGCTGGGCAGGAGCAATTCACTTCCTCAATAGGTGATGAAATGTTAGAGCGGAATGGAGCTTTACAGATCATTTTACTGAGGGGAAAGCTAAGACCCTAAGTTACACAGCTAGTTAATGAAAAAGCAAGGACTAATTAAATTCAACAAATATTTATTAAACATCTTACTACATTCATGGAAGAAATGCAACATGACGTAATGGCTAGAGAGCCATTTTCAGTTAGCAAGCCCTGGATTCAAGTCCTACATCAGACACATACTGGTTTTTGTGACTCTGGACAAGTCATTTAACCTCCCATTGTACCAGGCAACTTTCTACGATAGAAGTCATAAAGAAGGTACCAATCTGCATGAGTATAGGGAATTTCCTTCCCCTATACCAATAAAAAGACAGATATGGTCTCTCTTTCCCACCAAAATATTGATGGCATTACACTAAGTGCTGGAGATACAAAGAAAACTAAACAGATCTTGCCTTCATATTCTGAGTGATACAACAGGTACACAGAGGAGGGAAGAGATAATTTGAGGAATGAGAGGAAGTAGTTCTCAAACTAACCTTTGGAGAAGTGGAGGGGGAAAGCAGTGTGTTCTAGATCTGGGATATAGTCCAGGTGGAGACATGAAGAAAAGAGATTATATACTGATCTAACCTTGAGAAACTACCACTTGACTCCCAGGGGCTTGGGTACTGTACTCTGCCTGTTTTCTGCTTAGGCACTTGTTTTGGAGTGGGTTCAGTGCTGGAGAGCCTGGCTTCAAATGAAAGTAGGGCTAGGTTCCCTGTTCTCACACTTTCATTACTTAAACTCTCATCCCAGCACCCTGGGGATGATTTTATCTCTTGTTATGGCTCATGTCTAAGATATCCCCAAAAAGAGAAAGGAAAAAGATGGTCAATGTACCACATGAATCAACAGAGAAACAGGTGATTCCCACTCCCACCCCCTATCCCGGTTCATATAAAAAATGCTAAGCATAAAAAAAGATGCATTAGCAGAATGACTTAAATAGAATTTAGTAAATTAGTTAATAGAATAGTAAATAGAATTTAACTTTAGTAAAGTTAAATAGAATTTAACTTCAAAAAAGTTAAAACTACTTTTAACTACTGTTAAAATTTGCTGGGTGGTTGATACTTAAACCTTTATCAAAATGTGAAGCATGTTACAGGATTGCTAATTGGGCCTTTTACATTTCACTTTGGCTCTTTACTTTCCAAATCACTGGTGGTACAAGTCTTCTGGAAAACAGCCAGGCCATCCTCTTAATGGTTGCTGTCTTCTTTAAGAAGAGAGCTAAGTAGTTGATAGGGTTTCCACCTCTGCTTCCATTCAGCTCAGACCTGATGGAACCTCTGCATGTCTTGAACTCACTCATCTCAGTAGAAGTATTCATTCACTTAAGATCAGGAAAATACAAATACAAAAGAGGCAGTCCAATCCCAGACTCAGGCTTTCTTAGGCAGGACATATCCTTTAGATGCTATGTATTCGTGGCCAAATAGAGTCCAGAGAGGGGAGAAAAGGACAATTTGTCTCTATTCCCACTCTCCTCTCAGGAAGCAGCTGGAAATGATCCTGAAGGGATCCACAGACAAAAAGGAAGAGAGGGGTTGAGGGGATAGGTTGCCCCTTTGTATACATTCACTGAATCATCAGCTCTTTTGTCTCTAGAGCCAATAAGGGGACTCTTTGTCATCTCAAAGTGCAAGCCCATTAGCCCTAAGTCATACATAGTTGGAAGCAGGTCCTAAAGTTCCCACATGATGGACCAGAACCGTGAATTGCAACTCTAAACATACTGCATGGGATGGCCCCTATAGGCCAATTCAGTCTTGCTACACTGAATTGGAGGGAATCCAGATTTCCTAATTTCTTACCCAATATGTTTTCTACTATATACTATAGTTATAAAAGTAGTAGTATAGTATAGTATGATATATGGCATAGTGTGGTATAATACAGCACAGTATGGTATAGTATACATAGTACAGCATATTGTAGAATAATTTAGTGTATAAAGAAAAAATAAATAAGTAGAGATAAACATTCTAATTGGGAAATATCCTCATCTGTAAAATGAATTGGAGAAGGAAATGGCAAACCACACGAGTATCTTTGCTAAGAAGACCCCAAATAGGGTGACTGAAAACAACTGAACAACAACAAACTACTATATTATAGGGTTCAGGATGTTAGTATAGATTCCTACATAGGTATCATAAGCTCTCTCGATTGTCATATGGCTTATGGTTCAAAGGTAGCTGAGTCAGAAGGAGCTATGTTGAACTGGACAATGACCACTGAGACACTTCAGTAAGGTGCTGTAATAAAGTTGGACTTTAAGTTCAGACTTTGGGGAATCAAGTTGAGCAGGAAGAGCAAAGCAGAGGAGCCAGAAACAATGGCAAGACTGTCCCTTTACTAATCCATACTTTAAAAAAAAGTTGGATTATTATTCCCTTTTTCATTGATGAAGAAGTTGAGATAGCAACATGAAGCAACTTGCTCATTAATAATAACAAATTATAATAACTTACCCATTAATAATAATAATAATAATAATTATTATCTAGCAAGTGTCCACGGTCAGATTTGAATGTAGGGCTTCCCACTTTCAAGTCCAGTGCCATCCATTCCCTACCTCTGCACTATACCCATGCTCGCTGAGCTGCAAAGGAGAGAACCGTGAGTAAAACTTCCTATTAAGAATTTTAATACTAAATTGGCAGAAGTCTTAGAGTCATACAAAATTCTAGAAAGGGCTTTTGTTTTAAAGTTAAAACAAGCAGAATTGTCTGAGGTATGTAAGAGTAGAGATTGATATAATAATAGTTAACTTTTATATAGCACTTGCTATGTGCTAGGTACTTGCCAAACTCTTCATAATTAATATTTTCTCATTCGATCTCACAAGAGCCCTGGGAAGTAGGCGCTATTATTTTCATCCCCATTTTACAGAGGAGAAAACTGAGGCAAACAGAGGTTAAGTGCCTTGCCCAGGGTCACACAGCTAATAAGTTTCATAAGCCAAATTTGAACTCAGGTCTTCCTGACTCCAGGCCTAGCTCTAGTCACTGCGTCACCTAGCTACCCCTCATTGATATATGTATCAATTACAGAATCATAAAATTCTTCAGTTGGGAAGGGTCTTAGTGGCCATCTAATATAGCCTGTACCCAAAAGAAATTCCCATTATAAGATATACAGGTGGTTATGAGGCAGATTGCACCTAGAAGTTAGTGAGAAAGATACCAAATTGTACTTGGGCTACTTCATGAGATTTTTTAAATCAAGCAAGCAACAAGTATTTATTAAATCAATGTTATGGATCAGGAACAATAGTGTTGGCTTAATTTATAAGTGATAGGCAAGCAAAGGAATATGACCACATGTTATATTTGTAATTACTTTTTCATATAATGTAGGTCATAGAGCTGGCCCACCGTACATACTTTACGAACAGAGGCTACAAATAGTTACTGAGTTGGGCCTAGTCTCAAATATGGATTGACTTTGGAGAATTAAACAGTGTCTTTAACTTTTCAAAGATAACCGTTGAAATAATGTCCCTTTAAATTAAAAAAAGTTTTTTTCAATTACATGTAAAAACAATTTTTAACATTTATTTTCTTTCAATTTTGAGTCCCAATTCTTGCCCTCCCTCTCTCATTGAGAAGGCAGGCAATTTGATATTGGTTATACATGTGCAGTCATGCAAAACATATTTCCATATTAGCCATGTTGCAAAAGAAACCACAAAACAGCAACAAGAAGAAAAATAAAGATAAGAAAAATATTCTACCTCCAGGAAGAAGCATTTCCTGGTCCACCTTTATGCTAATGCCTTTCCTCTAGGTTGATCTCCAAGTTATTCTGCATCTATTTTGTTTG